AGACTTAGTGACCCAAGGCAATTCAAAAACGGGGGTAGGAGAGGGAGCAGGGCCACCTGGTGGGACACTTGGTGACCCTTTTGAAATGTACTGGCGACCCATATTTGGGTCCCAACCCATAGTTTGGGAAACCCTGGCCTAAAACATTGTGTCTTTCTGAACCAGAGCCTCCAAACCATTGGGACCAAATTATTCTTGACTACCCAAATCTATACCAGAGTACAAACAACTCTTATTACATACTAGCCAATTAGCCCACCATAAGACAGGATTTTCAGGTCTCTCCTCCACATCGGTCTTCTCTCCTGAGCCTCCGGTCTCTTGCTCCATCTCTCTTTCTCTATCTCCTCCTCCTACTGCCTCCCCCCGTCTCTCTCAGCTCTCCTCCGCCTTCTGCTTCTCCCTCCATCTCTCTCTCTTCTCCTTCTCCTGCCTCTCACTCTTCCTTTCATAGAGTAATAGGACTGGAAGGGACCTCAAGAGGTCATCGAGTCCAGCCTCCCGCCCTCAAGGCAGGACCAAGCTCCACCTACACCATCCCTGACAGATGTCTATCTAACCTGTTCTTAAATATCTCCAGAGAGGGAGATTCCACCACCTCCCTTGGCAATTTATTCCAATATTTGACCACCCTGACAGTTAGGAATTGGTGGTCAAATATTTCTTTCTTTTCTCCTCCTGCCTCTCACTCTCTCTTCACTCTCCTCTGTCTCCGTCGGGGATGCACGCTCATCCAGGCCCCGCCCCTTGGGCATGTACGTCACTGCCCCGCCCCCCTTCGCCTCCTGCCGTGTTGCTCGGCTGACTTCTGCGCCGCTCAGCCGGGCTGCTGCGCAGGAGCAAGCGGCGCAAGCAGCCGTTTGGTCCCCACTCTCCCCATGCAGCACCCCAGTGCTACATGGGGAGTGCAGACCCCAAACAGCCGCTTTCGCTGCTTGCCCCCTTGCAGCGGCCCAGATAAGTGGCTCAGAAGTCAGCCGAGTGCCATGGCGGGAGGCAACAACGCCACCCAGAAGGAACAGCCAGCATTTCAGCGTTACAGAGTCACAGACTTTGGGCTACTATATATATGATTACGGCTTTGGTCACCCTCTGTTAAGACTCCCTGCACTCCTTTTTTTATCATCACAAATGTAAGGACTACTAGACTAGCTTTCACAAAACTGGTATATGAATCTGAAATATTCAATTACATATTTACAAGGTGGGCTAGTATGTATGAAAGGCCTTGTACTTTAGTTAATATGTCATTCTGCTATCAAGGGCTCAGATTTTAAAAGTAAAATTTTGATCAAGCCACTGTTCAGAGTCCATCGATTAATTTTTTTTTACAAACCTGAAAGTGCATGAGCCAAGAGAGTGAGCCAGCACACCCTTTCAATCAAAGTCAGTTGGAAGCTCTTCTTCAGAAATGAGAATACTGGGAAGATAAAATGTGTAGTGTGACTGCACTTTGCGTCTATCGCATATTAGATTTACCCAGCTGTGCTCAATTTTTAGGTTTTTTTATATAAAATGTAAATTACATGCTTAATTTAAATCGTTGCTCGGGATTGGGTTGGGGATGAGGAGTTCACATTCACCTGCCCCCTGTGCTCCCCATCTAAAGTAAGGAGTGCAGCAAACTGTGCACTTCCCCTCACTCCCTAATGAAGAGGAGCAAACCTGGACCTGCCCCAGCTGGGGGACATGCACTCCTCCCCCAGCTGTGCCTGCTGGAACAGTAGCAGCCATGAAGAGTTGTTTCTCACCTGGTTCAAAGCTGCCATGGAGTATGTCTTCACTGCACCGTAGGTCGAAATAAGATACACAATTTGAGCTACACAAAGTGTGTATCTTAATTCAATGTTATTTCAAAATAGCTTATTTCAAAATTTGGCGCTGTCTATACAGTACGTATTTTGAAATAAATCACTGTTCTGAAACGTCCCTTACTCCTTGTGGAATGAGGTTTATAGGCAGGGCTCGACAATCTATGTAATCTACTCGCCCATGGCGAGTAGATTACAACCCGGAAGAGCTGGGTTCAGGCGATCTGCGCATGTTCAGGCGATCTGTGGCTGACGAGCAGGGCTCACCGCGGATCGGCGAGCCCTGTTTATAGGGACAGCGGAATAGCAAGCCCATTATATTTTGAAATAACGGGCATGCTCAAAAGACGTGGAATAGATATTTCAGGATACATCCAGTATCCCCAAATAGCGCTGCAGTGTAGACAGCAATGGTGAGAGAGGGCTGGGGAGTCCTCTCTCCCCAGGGCAGCCTGCATACTAAAACCCTAATCTCCAGCCCTACCTGAGACCAATAATTCAAATTACTTTTATACATTTTTCATTTTATTTTACAAAAAACAAAAATTATTTGAGTTAAGGATCCAAGCAATATTGGGTAATTCTTCTAGTACAACATATACATTAAATAAACTATCTTGCCTCAGTTGCTGCAAGAACGTAAAATTGTGGCCCCAACAAATAACTAACAAAAAATGTAATTGCTTCAACAGCATATCCACTAATGTTCCTTTCCTTTTTCTAGCCCTATAAATACCCCTACTCCTGTGCAAGGGGAGAAAAAGTGGCCCATTAGCTGTTTGCTACTGACCTTTCTGGAAATTATCAATATTTAATATAAATTGTGAATTTGAGTCGTGAACCCTCACTTGCTCTTCAGATGCCTATTAACACTGAGCATAACTCTGCAGGTATTTGTTGAGTAGTAATTAAAAATAAAGAGTCAATACTAGCCACATTACTATTAAGGCAGAGAACATTTGGGGATTTCCTACAATGCTCCCCAATCCCATTCTCCATTCATTGTACCATAGTTTAAATAAAATTACCAAAGTACTTGAAACAAGCATGATTATATTGCATTACTTTGAGAAATAAAATGTGAAGAATTTTGCATAATTTTAAAATATGTGCAGAATTTAAAACATTTTTGGGACAGAATTCCCCCAAGAGTAGGAGACAGTCCCTACCCCCAAAGAAATTATAATCTAGAAGACAAAGGGAAGACAGAATATGTTTGGAAACTCAAATAAGGTAACAATTCAGATTGTATTTTCTTGGCTTACTCCTGGTAAGTATTATGGAAGGAATGAACCAGAAGGCTTTGGTGGTGAATCAGTGAGTATGTCTAGGTTATATGCGTCTGCTGACAGAGGCATGTAGAATAGGATACCCGACATAGTCAATGAAGCCGGGAATTAAATATCCCCAGCTTCATTAAAATAAAAATGGCCTCCACGCTATGCCGGCTCAGCTGATCCATGTCAAGACGTAGATCGGTCAATAAGGGAAGCCTTTGTCGACCGCTCTGTTTTGCCTCATGAAACGAGGTTTACAGGAGCAGTCGACAAAGGCTTACCTTGTTGACCGATCCGCATCTTGACTCGCGCGCTGTGCCGACAATCAGCTGAGCTGACACAGTGCGGTGGCCATTTTTATTTTAATGAAGCCGGGGATATTTAAATCCCGGCTTCATTGACTGTGTCGGGTAGCCTATTTTACATGCCGCTGTCAGCAGAGGCATGTAATCTAGACATACCCAATGAGAGAAATCTGAGCCTTTGCTGGCAAATTTTGTATTAGTAAAATGCAAGGCTCAGCACATAAAAAGCACGTGAGCATTTTATTGCTGGTTTTATATATCTGTTTAATTATAAAAAAACACCGAACAAAATTCATGCATGGAATAACTCCACTGAGATCAATGAAGTTACACCAGGAGTGAATTTATTCCACATTTCAGATGTTTTAATAATTTACATATACATTTAATAATGCTAAGGAAGAGTAGAAATAAAAAATGCTCCACTGTAACTTTCACTTAATTGGCTGTTAAAAGTTGCCCTGAAGTAGTAGATCTTTGTAGATTGTGGTTAGCACTCCCAAATGAACTTTTTTATCAACTTTTCCAAATCTTCATAGCATAAACAGTAATATACTGGTAAACATTCTTTGTCACATATATAAAGCTGTCAAGAAGTTTAAGTTCCATAAAAATGAAAGTCAAAAGAAAACACCAGGTACTCTTACCCTGGTAACAAAGAGACTCTTTTGAAGGTCAAAGAACAGAAATATCAATGAGGAGGAGTTTCCAGGATTGCTAAGTGAGAGATGTAGAAATTACATTTAGAGATAGGGTCCAAGAGCTGTATTAATACTAGGACTAAAAATTGTGTTACTGCAGCGAATTCTCTAATATCAGCAACCCTCAGATGGAAATGTTTGGCTACGTTGGCTCTTAGTGCTTCATGTATACCATGTTTTTGGTTTAATTATTAATGCTCTCTCTATTTTTCTGAATGTTTTTGAAATATGTCTGGATGGTATAATTAATACTCAATATGTCAATTTTCTGTGATGACTTTGCACCATATTTTCACTTGAAGATTAAACTTATTAAAATGATTTTGTGATGTAAGTTTGCGAGATGTCAATCGAGCAATGCAACATTTAATAAACAAGTGGCTTTATATTATTCCGAAAGTGTAAAAGCACTTCTGATTTCAAATGTTTATTAAATTGGAAACAGGTAAGTATACCAACTTGTTCCATTTTCAAAAACTTACGTTTTTCAAGAACAGATGTTCATAGGAAGAAACTCTAAAATGAGTCCAAAAACAATGCTGATTATAATTATACAAGCGAATCATTAGCATTCTGGATTATTGTTAATGTTTAGCTTAACTGGTTCTTTTCTCTGTTATGCCAAGAGACCAACAACATTTTCTATCCCCTACTATAGTACCCAGAACACTCTTTAACAGTGATAAATTCTGTTTTCAAAACTTC